CGAAACACCTCCTCCAAGGGCTCCCAACTCCCCTCTCTCCAGGACTGCTTCCGCCCCAACCTTGTCACCCCGCTCATTTCCTGGGCGCTGCCTAGGGCAGTCAGTAGTCACCCTGGGGGGCAGACACAGGCTTGGTGTTTGTTCTCTGTGTCCCCCTCCTGGCAAGGCCCACGCCCGCCCTTCCCAGCTGCCCTGGGGCTCAGTCCTGGTTTCAGTTCCGCCCTGTCAGGCTCAGACATTTGGCTAGTGCTGGTGAGGGCAGGGGTGGCAATTCCAGAGCCACGATTTTGTAAACACCTGAATTCCCTTTTTTTTTTTGGTCTTTTTAAGACAGGGTCTCATTATGCAGTTCAGGCTGGCCTTAAACTTACTTTGTAACCCAGGCTGGCCTTGAACTTGCAATGATCTTCCTGCCTCAGCCTCCCAAGTACTGGGATTACAGGCATGCGCCACCACACCCGGGCTGAATTCCCTTTTGATGAAGTTACATGGATTTGTCTGGATTTGAATTCTAAATACAGGTCCTTGTTTATTTATTAGCTTGCTCGTTATTATCTGTTTTTTTTTTGGAAACCGAGTCTTGCTATGTAGTTCAGCCAGGCCTTGAACTCACTGTTACTCGGGCTGGCCTCAAACTCATAGTGATCCTCCTGCCTCAGCCTCCCGAGTGCTGGGACTACGGCTGTGCACCACCCCACCTAGCAGGCTTGTTATATCTGTGTCGCCCTATTTTGTTTAAACTCCTGGATGCCAGGCACCTGCTTGTTTTTGTACACTGTGTTCACAGAGCCCAGCACAGCGTCCAGTCCCCAGGACGTGCTCAGATGATCTGTCAGCTGCTGGCTGGCTGGAGAGGGGACGGCGATAGCACATAGAAGAGGAAGCGAGGGCGGACGGTCCATCTCCCTTCCCGGCCTGTGAACTTTGCAATGTCCCTGGGCTCAGCCGTAGTCCCCCTGGCGAGCTCAGCCAGCCTCATCTGTTTAAATTTCCATCTCCATGCTGGGGGCGGGGGTGGCTCACGACCGTCATCCCAGCACTCTGGGAGCCTGAGGCTGGAGAATTGCAAGTTCGAGCCCAGCCTGGGCAATTTAGCAATTTAGCAAGACCCTGTCGGAGAACTAAAAATCGAAAACAAAGGTGTAGGCACGGAGCAGAGCAGGCCCTGGGCTCAGTGACCAGTGGAAGTGTTGCTCCAGGCATGACCTCAGCCTCGAAATTCTGGCAGTTCGGTCCAGCCAATACCCTCCCGCTTCCTGTCAGAAGTCGACAGGCGTCTCAGAGGTAGCGGGTCCAAAACAGAGCTCTTAGCCTCTCCTCCAAGCAGTGTCCCCCGCAGGCCTCCCCGTCTAAGTGAACCACAACTCTGCTCTTTCGCTTGCTTGAGCCACAAACCTGGGGGTCGCCCCTGCTGCCCTCGTCTCTTTCATATTTCCACTCTGTTCTTCAGCAGCCCTCTGGCCCTGCGCCATGTATTAAAACCCATCGTTTCTCTCTACCTTCAGCTCCCTAAGCTCTTAGTCATCTTGCATAAAGGTTTCTGCAGCGCCTTCTATGACAGATGCTGCTGGAATCCTTGTCACACGCCCCTCGCCACTTCCGGCTCCAGCTCCAGCTGAGAGGGACGGTGGCGTGCGAGCTCAGCTCACTTTGTGTCAAGAAGTGTGCGCCTCATGTCTGCTCACCACCCAGACATTCCACAATGCTTTGGATAACCTCTAGCCCAAGCATAGTCCAGAAGTTCAGGCTTAATGTCCCGGCGGAGAAGCCCCAACCCATGGGGACAGGAAGCAGCGGACAGCCACCACCCAGCCTCCCGTCCTCCAGTGGCTCATTCTGAGAGACAGCTGTAAGCTTCCCAGGAAGGCCTAGAAAAGCTGAGCCCCCCTGTGCTCCATAACAACCTTGGTCATAGACACTTATAGTGGCTGTCTTTTCCTGACTCAGCCTCCTGTGACTTTGGCCTTGCTCCTGAGAAGCCCAGCCAGAATGATCTACTGCACAGGGTTCTTTCTTTCTTTCTTTCTTTCTTTCTTTCTTTCTTTCTTTCTTTCTTTCTTTCTTTCTTTCTTCCTTCCTTCCTTCCTTCCTTCCTTCCTTTCTTTCTTTCTCTTTCTTTCTTTCTTTCTTTCTTTCTTTCTTTCTTTCTTTCTTTCTTTCTT